TTTTTTTTTTCAGGGTAATAATCATCATTAGCAACACCAATATATTTTCACTAGCAAAAGATAAACTGTTTGGTGGACCACAAATGTAATGTACAACACAAATAGCTCACACATATCTGCTAGCAATGATTGAGCTCAAATAAAGAAATAGGAATATCATTGTGACTCTGCATATAAATTCAATGCACAACATGCATATATTATCCCAACCATACTTTCCACATAAAGTTGCGGGTGATATGATGCACCTTTTGGGACATGATGTAGAGTTTGATCCGAGCATATTACAAGTTGTGGGGGTGTGATGCTGCCTGAAGATTTTTCACGGCACTGTCATAGTGCACAAAGCCTTGGAACCAAAATTCATGGTTGTCGACAGAAATAACCTGGATGTACTTCTCAGTTGGCTTGGTTCTGCTTGTCGATGGGTTGACTGCCCTCAGCTGATGTAATGGAATAACCACCTGTTTTTCATGGGAGAGAAAGTCGATGACCATGAAAATCAGATAAAGAGACATGCACATGGTTGCCTACCAAGATGAAAGAGTATCTGCCTAAAAAGGAAATAGTATGCAGTGTCCATCAAATTATGACTGTAATTCACTAAAAACTCCCAAGTCCAACTGAAAAATAGGGGCTTAAAAAACAATGTCCTTATTATAATTCTTAAGATATTGTTAGGATAATTCTAATTAGGCAAGATTGTTTTAGCTTCCATATATCAAGGGTTATAAAATTTCCATCACCAACTCCAAGGTGTTTACTAGAAATACTGGGAAACAAAAAATGAAAAAGGATAATACAACGAGCAATGATAAACAACTCTATGGAACCCCAATATTTAGGTAATTGATGGGCTAATAATAAAAAGGAGTAATTAATCTGAATAAGGAAGATTCAGTTAACAATTTAACATGGCAATCTTTAGTTTCAGTTTAAAATAGACAGGAGATTATCAATCAATATCATATTGTGCTTTAACGTAATGGATCAACTACCACATCAAACCTTGATGTGCTGCCATTAAACCAACAAGGGTCCAAGGTCAAATTAGCACCTAGAGAGTTGGTTAACTAATTAACCTTAAGCACTCTAATGTAACTAAATTCCTAGCCTAGTTAGCACAAGTCAAAAATAGTATAACCATCTCAATCAAAAAAGGTGAAATGAGAAGTCCGGGCAACAATCTTAAAAGTTCATGGCCACTAGCCTCATGAGGAGATAAGGGAATTCATAATCCATGCCCTATTTGCGTGACAAGATAATGGATAACACTTATACCAGAAAACACTCCTAGGCATTTACAATGGGTCCAAGCATGGTACAAAATCTTGAGACTGCTTCAGATGCAATGCAACCAATTAAGATAGACAACACATACCTTATAATAGCTCCACTTTGTCTCTTCACCAACGTTGTAAGACAGAGGATTATCACTACAAAAAGCAAGTTTGGCTGTTGACAAATATAGAACTCCCATAACCGGACCAGCAGAGGTCGAAAGATAGCAAGCATATGTCTTCAGAAGCTTCTCCTCAGGAACCGAATCAAATGTTTGTCTAAAGATCTTCTCGTAACCACCCTCAGCAAGCACTTTAGTGCTCTGAGCAATTCTCCCCACAGCAGCATCAGCAAAACTAGGGCCAGTTTTCACTGGTTCAAGAAAGAACTGATTTTTAAGTTCCAGAAACTCAACTTGATTGTTCATGCTACAATTACAATTGAAGGGAGAAATTCCATTGTGCTTCATGCAAAGATTTTCAACACATATATTCATAAGGAAACTTAAAATTTCAGAGTTGCATCCAAGATACTCAGAACCAAAAATGAAATTACAGATAAAAAGAGAAAGGCCTACAGTGTTGCCACATGTTTCCGGCAAGATCCTCAGCCTTCTTGGTGGCCTCCGCTGCTTTCTTTCCCCATTTCCCTAGCACATCCTTCACTGAATCAACCTTACCTGCTCAAAACAAAGCAAACTTAAAATCTCTCCAATCTTGAAAAATCAAACAAGATGAATGAGCTATGTACACGAACTGCTTACTCTTTGATTGAACCGGAGAAGGAGAGACATAGGGATTGGACTCAACCGGCATGGTGGTGGCAGCACTGCCTTGGATCGGAGCTGGACCAGTACTCGGCTGCGATTCGGTGCCCACGGAGACGGATGTCCAGTTCTCTGGAGGCGGAGCGACGTCTTTGGGGTCTAACTTCGGGTAAGGAGCGTAATCGGTGGAATGAGAGGCAGGTTGCTGATGCTGATGCTCCTGGTTAGTCTGCGATGGAGATTGCTTCGGCGGCTCTGCTTGATTTCCATCCTCTTTGTGCTGCTGCGGCTCCATGATTGACTACTTGTTTGGATCAACTGGAGAGGAAGACGAAGAAGAAAGGACAGGAAACTGCTTTGGGGGAATCGGGAAGAAGACGGTTGAGACCAAGAATTCGAAATCGGACTCTGCCGATCAAATTCGTGGAGGAGTTTTCTAGAAGCAGGGTCGGAAGTATTATAGGATTTATTTTTCAGATGCCGTTGCTTGTCTTCTCAGCTGTTTCCACTTTATCAAACTTAAATTTGATGGGTGGGCAAAAATTATCCGAGCCGAAAAATTAGCCAGATGATTTTGGTTAAATGGTTTTTGGTCATAAAATTATTGGTTTGGTTAGGGCTAAGCATTTGGAAACTGAACCAATAAGTTATTTGGAAACTGAACCAATAGGTTATTTGGAAACCAAACTAAAAAAATGAATTCAGTTTGGTTTCAATGGTTTTTGGTTTTTATTACTTCGATTTTGATATTAACAAAATAAATTTTGATTCGATTTTGGTTAACCTTTTAAAAATCCAAAACAAAAAATAAATATTTTAAAAATCGAAATTAAGATAAATATAACAAAATATGATAAAATATAATTTATTATTAGAAAAATAATTAATTAATATTTATTTAATAAAAATCAAAATTGAACCAATTTTATTAGTAACCAAATTGATCGGTTTGTAAAAACTTTAATTCGGTTTTGATTCTCAAAATTAAAGAAAATTTTTTTTGGTTGTTTTAAATCCAATTTTGGTTTCGGTTTTTGCCCACCCCAAGGTTTGGTTATTCCCGAAAATAATTTAGTTGATTTTTGGTTCAAGTGTTTGAAAAACGAAAACCAAATCTATAACCAAAATACACTAATAAAAAACAAAAAAATGTTCATTTTAACATCTTAAATATCAATATCTTTTAATAATCGAATGTCTCCTAAAATTCATGCTATGAATTAGCATTTCAAAATCCATTCTCCTGCCATACTTTCTTTTACTTTTATTTTTTTCTATGAATAATTTAAAATTGTGCTATGTTAGATGAGATTTTGTTTAAGAAAATCAAATTTTTTTTAATTAAATCAACAAGTTATTGGTGTTTTACCTTTATTTATAATTTATTATTACAAGAAAATGTTCATCAATCCCAACTTCTAATAAAAATTAGAGTTCTGGACTTCAACAACATTGTTTCTCTTGATCCCCAATCTCTACTGACTACTGTTTTTCACCCCTACTATGTTTCAATCAATCATTGCCATCGCCTCTTTGCCTTCTTTGATTCCTTGAACTTTTCAAAGACAATTCCATACCGCCAACTTAATCCTTAGTGCCTAGTATTTTCATCCTATTTTTGTGGCTGCAATTCATCATCTCCATTGCCTCATGCGATCCCTTGAGTTTTTCAAACACAATCCACACCATCAACGATAATAAAGAAGAAATCAAAGGAAATGACTTTTGGAAATTGATGATTTACCCCTTTTGTTCTCCAACAACAACAACAGGGACAATGAGTTGACTTGAGATGCACTTTCCCTTGGAGGCGATGGAGATGATTGATTGAGATGCAAATGCTGACTAAGAGAAATGATGACATAAAAGCTCGAAACTCTAATTTTTATTAGAAGTTGAGATTGTTACGTACTTTTTTATTTTTATTATATTCTCTTAAAAGTCTTATTGTAAGTTTTCTTTCTCTTAATTATTGTCATTCATCTTATCCCTTTTACTTTACCTGTATTGTTTACCTTCTTCATTCTGTTTCTTCATCGTTTTTTTTTTCTTTTCTTTTTATTATTCTACTGCGATTTTTCTCGTTTCTCTTCATCCTTTGTGTGTGTGTGTTTTTTCAGCACAGTCGAGGGTTAAGTCCACCAAGAAAATTCGATAAAAACTTTAAAATGAAATCCTTCATTCCTTCCACTTTTAATGTCTTTGGCCTAACCCAAGTTTTCTTTTCCCCTTCTAATTCGCGTCATAGGTGCTGTATTTTTTGCCGAAGTCATTGCTGCTGTTTTTTCCTTCATTTTTGTGCATTCTCTTCTCATATCAACTCATA